GATATTTGATTTGAAGTTGCATTACTATCAATACATATAAGTTTGACAACTATTTCCAGGCCCTGCCCCCTTGGTCATGGACCAACAACTTTCAATTAACGAGAAATTTTCAATGTTAAGTTTTCTGCTTAAGTGAGTTTGATAGGAACTACTTGTGATAGATCATTGACATTTAATATGAAGTTGCATGACTACTAGAACATATCAGTTTGACAACTTTTTTGAGGCCCTGCCCCCTAAGTCATGGTTCAGTGACTTTGAATTAATAAGCAATTTTAAATGTTTAAGGGGCATTAGCTACGGGATATCAAAAAAATTAAAATATGATTTTCTTTTGTTCAATCATTAAAGAAAGTGAAAAAATAATTCGCTTTTCACAGTCAATTTGGATCAATTTTGTCAAAATAAGCTAAGAAATATTACTGATGAATTATTCACTTGCAAGTAAATAATTTGACCTCATTGAATCTGTATTCATGTGACCTTAAATTTAACCCCTTAGCTGGAGATGGGTTATGCATGTATTCAGCGATTAAAAGGAAAAGAATGACAACATTGAAAGTGAAGCTAGGATGAACCACTTGGTTGATTGATCCACAAAAAATCTCTCTTATTCAGGTAAAAAATGATGATAAACATACTTTTTAACCTACAATATGAAATCAAAAAGACCTAGAAAAATCCAATTGCAGGTGGATGCTATTTGTTTGTTGTCCCCCGCATAGAAATACTGGGTGTCTGTCCGGTCTTGTTAGCGCTCCCACATGTACAGTTCTTGCCAAATTTTTATGAGATTTATATCAAAGGTTTAAATCAGCAATGTCTTGGACGATTTTGAAAATCAGTGCCGATCAATTATTTTTAAAAGAGTTGTACTCCTTGGAATAATTAATTATATGGAAAATTGCATTGTAAGCACGCTCATGTGTAAAATTCTTGCCAGATTTTCATACGCCTATTTAACGGGACGTATTATGGTATACCGTTGTCTGTCTGTCTGTCTGTTGTCAACATTTGACCCATTAACTCAAAAACGCTTTAAATAATATGCATGAAACTTTGGTGAATTGTTTATATCTATTGACGTGAGCTCCCTTTCGCTTTTTATAAATTTCAGATTTACCGTTTCTGACTTTTGGGGTTTTATTCATTAAAAAAGGGGGGATTTTCCAGTTTTCCGACAATTACTCAAGAATGCTTTCACCAACTTGCAAGAAATTTTGGTGAATTGTTTATATCTATTGACATGAGCTCCCTTTCAATTTTTATAAAGGGATACAGGGTTTTATTCATAAAAAAGGGGATTTTCTAGTTTTCGGACAATAACTAAAAAATGCTTTCAGCAGTTCTAAATAAACTTTGGTGAATTTTATATCTGTTGATGTAAGCTCCCTTTAAAATTTTATAAATTTTAGATTTTACATTTCTGAGTTATGGGGTTTTATTCATTAAAAAAGGGGGGATTTTCCAGTTTTTGGACAATAACTCAAAAATGCTTTAAGCAGTTGGCATGAAACTTTGGTGAATTATTAATAGCTATTGATCTAATCTCCCCATTGATTTTCATAAATTTCAAATATGACATTGAGAAGAAATTGAACTTTATTTGTTTATAGTCTGACAACAGATTTACTAAGTATTGCGCAACAGCACAGTGTATTGCACACCAGTAAGAATTTCATATAACCAATTTCAAGTTCTTTGACTTCATTTATTCAGAAACCTATAATATGTCAAATATTTAATTACAATCCAAATTCAGACCTGTATCAAGCTTGAATATTGTGTCCATTTTTGCCCCAACTGTTCAGGGTTGGACCTCTGCGGGTGTATCCAGCTGTGCTCAGCGAAGCAGTTTATTATGAAACTTATACCATAGATTTATATTAGCAATGTCTTGGATGAGTTCGAAAATCAGTGCTGATCAATTATTTTTCAAAGAGTTATGCCACTTAAAAACATTAATTATATGGAGAATTACATTGTTAGCACTCTCATGTGTACAATTCTTTATTCCAGATATTTATGAAACTTATATCATAGGTTTATATCAGCAATGTCTTGGACAAGTTCGAAAATCCGTGCCGATCAAATATTTTTTAAAAGAGTTATGACCTTGGGAAAATTTATTATATGGAAAATTGCATTGTTAGCATTCTCATGTACAATTCTTGCCTGAATTTTATGAAATTTATATTTTAGGTTTATATCATCAATGTCTCAGATGAATTTGAAAATCGGTGCTGATCAATTATTTTTTAAAAAGTTATGTCCCTTGGAAATATTGATTTTATGGAAAATTGCATTGTTAGTGCTTCCATGTGTACAATTCTTGCCAGAATTTTATGAAACTTATATCATAAGTTTATATCAGCAATGTCTTTGACACTTTCAAAAATAAGTGCTGATCAAATATTTTTAACGAGTCGTTCCCCTTGGAAAATTTAATTATAATGGAAATCCTATTGCATTTGCTCTGAAGCCTTCATTTCTCTAAGATATTTATAAATTGTTTTGAAAAACAAAAACACCAAAAAATTTTTTTTTTTAGTTATTGACCTTGAACCTAGGATAGATAAAATATGTGCAACGCAGGGGACATTGGAACTCTGTTCTTTTATACTTATATTTATGTTTACATTGGGTTATATGACCGTCGACAGGCTTTGGAGGTCATCTCGATGGTAAATTAGATGACGACTAGACAAAAATACACACGAAGTGTTGATACATATTATCGAGTCTATGCATTGTTTATTGTTTATTTTCGACTTTTTGTAATTTGGATATATACGTTTTAGTATGTTATAAATCAAATATGAGAATTTGAATCAAATCGTTCAACATGAATTTGACAGCTAATGCCCTTTTAAGTTTTCTGCTTAAGTTAGTTTGACAACTATTTCAAGGCCCTGCCCCCTAGGTCATGTTCCAATGACTTTCAATCAATAAACAATTTTCAATGTTAAGTTTTCTGATTAAGTTAGTTGTAAATTAGTTTGATAGGAACTACTTACAATAGACAATATTTTCTATAAAGTTACATTGCTGTCTGTACATCTCAGTTTGTCAACCATTTCTAGGCCCTACCCATTAGTTGTTCAAGTGACTTTGAATTAATTAGCAATGTTGGTGTTCATCACTGATTGTCTTTTTCTTAATTTTATGCCAACTGGTGAGGCATATCTTGGTGTCAACAGTTTATTTGTCATCTTGACAGCATCTTGCTTTTCAATTATTGGCAAGGGCAGCAGCAGAAACTGTTTTTGGAGGTAAACAGGAACTTCAATGTTCAAGAAGTTATCTCTATGGCCTATTTTTCCCCCTATATGCTTGAATCTATAATTATAGTTATTGACCATGATCAATGTATATGCCAAATTACCATGAATAGAGGGAGATATATAGAAGTAATAATTCCTTGAAATTCCCTAGAATTAGATCAGTCTGTCATATTTCTATTGTCCTCAACCTCATTTTCATGGTTCAGCAACTGCTTGAAAATAAAATTTTTGTTTTTTTTGTCATGTGAATTTCTCACTTATTATGAGTAAAAGGATAACAGTATTTGGTATATGTGTTCCTTGCAACTTCTGCATGTCCGTCAAACAGGGTTCACCCGACCTCAACCTCATTTCATGGATCAGTGATCAACGTTAAAGTTACGTGTTTAGGTCCATTTCTCAGATACTATAAGCAGTAGGTCAACTATATGTGGTGTATGGAATGATTGTAAGCGGTACATGTCAGTCTGGCAAGTTTAATCTGACCTTGACCTCATTTTCATGGTTCATTGGTCAATGGTAAGTTTTTTGTTTTTTAGGTCTGATTTTCGAGAACTGAAAGCAATAGGTCAACTGTATTTGGTGTATGGAATGATTGTTAGGTGTAAATGTCTGTCTGGCAGGTATCATCTGACCTTGACCTCATTTTCATGGATCATTGGTTAATGTCAAGTTTTTGTGTGTTTTAGTCTGTTTTTCAATTACCATAAGCAATAGGTCAACTGTAGTTGCTGCATGGAATAATTGTAAGGTGTACATTTCTGTTTGGCAGGATTTATCTGACCTTGACCTCATTGTCATGGATCTTTAAACATGTTAAGTTTATGTGATACTTGTAGTAAAACCTTAACTTTAAAGGACTTTCAACAATCAATTGTCATTAAAGTAGGCAAGACATTTCAGAGTGTGCACTCTTGTTTTCCTTGCATCATTTGTCATTAAAGTCAAGTTACAGTCAAATGGGCTATGTCACAGATTTTGGTAAAATTTTGCATACAACCTTGGCTTGTTGAACTATAACCATGTGATAACTGAAAATATAAAAAAATATTGCATTTATCTCTTTTATCATCTGAAATATTACTGATTGATTTCTTTCAGAATAGAAAGCACATAAAGTCGGCTAAAAAACTTCTTAAATTTGTCTAAAAATCATTAAATCTCTAATTTCTAATACTAATATACACTTGTACACAAGATTTTTCTTGAAAAACTATCTGTTATTATATCAAATTTCAATGATGTAAAGTAATGATATGGTCATGTAGCGGATGGCCATTAATTTTTACCCTTGTCCATCCTTGCGTACATCTGTATGTCCCGAAATTGGTTTCTGTTCTCTTACTTAAGTTTGCTTCAAACAAATGTTATGAGACTTATGAATGCTTATCATCATAAAACACTGATCAAATTCGAATTTGGGTGGCGTCACTTTTACAGTTCTCTAGTTATGTCTCTTTTTGATGTTATATGCAAGCGGGGGCATCATCTGTGTCTTATGGACAAATTCTTCATTTATTTTAATGGAGGAGTTAAAGATGAGCGATGAGGCATGAAGGACTGCAATGACATTGCCGTCATTGGAAAGGGCAACCCTAGGACTGATATCATTGATACTGGTATACAGCAAAATCTTGTTGACATCTACCATGAAATATAGTCAAGAGAGATAATCTTAAATCTTAAATAACTAATGTGAAAAAAGAACACAAAAAATAAAAGAATGGCATTTTATTTAATATTGTAAAATGTAAACATACATATTATCACATGTAAAATCCAATATTCCAAATAAACTTTCCATTAAAAAAAAAACACCAAATGGAACAGTGTAATTCAATCAAAATCTCTAGTCAATAGATTTTTAGAAAACATGAAAGTTACAGTTATATTCAGAATGTTGTATAGCTTTCCCCCCAAAAAATGGCTGATATATGATAGATTATTAAATGATGACCAAAAAAAAGGACAAAATTATTGCAATGGTCATTTACAGAGGTTGTGTTCCATAACATTATCTGTGGAAACTACATTTTCCAATTAGATGCTATTGGTTTTTATAAGATTTTATTTTCTTAACATAATTACTGTTTGATGAGTACTTAATTTTGTAACAGTCATAGTTTGATGGTAATTGATTAATAGTTTATTTGTATTTCAGGGATAATGAAATTTCAAGGGTGGTAGGGAATTAAAAAAAGCATAAAAGCATTATAATTACTTTTCTTTTCTAAAAAGTAGAAAAAATCTGCAGTTTCGTAAACCCACAAATTAAATAAACTGCTTCGCTGAGCGCAGCTGGATACGCCCGCAGAGGTCCAACCCTGAACAGTTGGGGCAAAAATGGACACAATATTCAAGCTTGATACAGGTCTGAATTTGGATTGTAATTAAATATTTGACATATTATAGGTTTCTGAATAAATGTAGTCAAAGAACTTGAAATTGGTTATATGAATTGAATTTATATTCAATTAAAGATTTCTTTCTGTTGTGCAATACACTGTGCTGTTGCGCAATACTAGTAAATCTGTTGTCAGACTATAAACAAATAAAGTTCAATAACTTCTCAATGTTATATTAGAAATTTATAAAAAAAACTAAAGGGAGGTTATCTTAATAGATATAAATCAGTCATCACAAAGTTTAATGAAAACTGCTCTAAGCACTTTAAGGATATTGTCCAAAAACTTGAAAATCACACCCTTTTTTTTATGAATAAAATCTTGTAACTCGGAAACATAAAGTCTAAAATTTATAAAAATCAAAAGGGAGCTTACAACAATAGATAGAAACAATTTACCAAATTTTCATAAAATATGCTGAAAGCATTTTTGAGTTACTGTCCCAAAACAGGAATATCCCCCTTTTTGTAACGAATAAAACCCCATAAATCAGAAACGTATAGTCTAAAATTTATAAAAATCAAAAGGGAGCTCAAGTCGATAGCATTAAACAATTAACCAAAGTTTCTTGCAAATTGGTGAAATTGTTTTTGAGTTATTGTCCGAAAACTGGAAAATCCCCCCTTTTTTAATGAATAAAACTCCAATTCGGAAACGGTAAATCTGAAATTTATAAAAAACGAAAGGGAGCTCACGTCAATAGATATAAACAATTCACCAAAGTTTCATGCATATTGGTAAAAGCGTTTTTGAGTTAATGTCCGACATGTTGACGACGGACGCACGGACAGACGGACGGTCAACAGTATACCATAATACGTCCCGTAAACGGGCGTATAAAAAACCCTTGCCGTAATTAGATAAAAGTTTTTTATGATTGAATGAACAAATATTTGATTAAACTAAGTACAAATGCAGGAAATAAAGTACAACTGACTGAGACTGGATATGTTATAGTGAATAGATTTATGAATTACAGGAAAACAAATATGCATACTGTAAATTTCGTTTTTTTTTAAAGATGTTCTATCATTGCGATTATTTAAGATTGGAAAGCTTTCCCAAAAACGAAAAATAAAATCCTTTTTTTTGTAGCACTTTTGTATTTCGCATTTCCTGGAATCCTAATAATAAGTTTCACATTTTCTTATCGTTGTTCATCTATTGCAAAAATAATTATAATGGTATAATAATTAATACAGTAAAAAAAAACCTGAGCTTTTTTTTGCCTTTTACCATTGTTACAAAGGTTTGATACCCTCATATAATATGACTAGTTCTAAACAAAATGAATAGCAAATATGATATGACTATGTTAAAATTTAATTGAACTACCAAACTTCAACAAAAGTCAAATAAATAAATGAGGGTACAATGAGGTATATATCAAATGTGACACATAAATACAAATAAACATCTAGATGTCAACATAAGGTTTCCTAGTGTCTATACAGTATATTAACCTCTTAGCACATGCAGTCCAGAAAAGTTGTGAATACATTATTCTCCAACTGTTTGGACTAGGGAGATGTAGTGCTCAACATACCATTGTGTAGACACATATCTTTTGTTGTCTGTGGATTTCAAGATGTCTTTAGGTTTTTGGTGATGTCAGGTTGCTGTCTCAATGATTTATACGCTAAATCTTCTTAATTCATACTTAAACTATATGGCTACGTCGAAACATGATAAAAATAAATCAAGTTTCATGCAATAAAAAGTTACCATAACACAGAGAAATAAGCATACAAAATAAATCTGCTCGAAAATCTACATATAAATCATTTTCACTTAAAAAACAGATGAATTCTTTGAAATTATCCCCTGTATTTGAATAGAATAATTCAACAAAAGATCACCAAATCATCCTGGTTAACTCTGAATTGCTCTATATCAAAACTTAAACAGAAGAAACTTGTATGTGTTGTTATTTCTTTAACCAAATCTCTTGTTATTTTACTCGATGTCCTTAACTGCAGAGAGATGTCTCATAAATGAATAAATAAATCTGACCCCTATTTCAATCAGATTAACATTCATCTAATAATATATTGTAGTACTTCATATATTTTATATAAATGTTCAAATAAATATAAGAATGTAGATACATGGTGTATTAATGGTTTATAAATAGGATAGAGAACCAAATGTTTTAGGTGCACTTCACACTAAAATATACTCAAATAGCCTCATTGGTTCATTAACACATTCAATCTTCTTTTGGCATTGAGAATTACAAAAGGAAATCTCCATCAAATGTCATCATCCAAGCAATACTCGTTTGAGCTTGGCTTTAGCTGTATCTTCGTCATCTGTGTCAGTGTCACTGTTGGGTACATATGGTGAAGTTCGACACTTTGGTGAGCACAGATACTGAAGTAATGGAAGTCTGTACTTCCCACAAAAGTCAACAAATTTCACATTTTCCACTCTAGAAGCAAAGTATACACCTGAAAGAAAGAGGATCACAATTTTTAAATATTAAGAGCAATTCTCTGTAATCACCAAAATATTTCGGCACGCACTAAAAAATATTTGTTTTAAACTTTATTAGTTCAATAGAGCCCCATGAGCTTAACAAAAAATATTATTACACTTAGCCACATATGTTTACCGTTTCCTTGGTAACAGGACTTAAAGTGGCAAGAAAGAGGGAAAATGCAGTGTTTACAAATTATGATCAATTATGTCTAATAAAAAGAAAATAATATAGATATTCAGACATTTAAAACTTTTTTCAGTTTAAAAAAAACAAATAAAAATTGTGTTCAACAGTAAACTTTCTTAAAAAAAATCTATATAGCTAAAATAGGGTAAAAAGTGCAATAAAAGGGGGGTTTTAGAGCCTATTTTGATCAGGTGTTGTAAAAAAAGGCAGCCATTTCTTATATTGTTGATTATATGAATAGAGAGAATGGATTAAGGTTATACAAGAAAAGAAAAAAAATCAGTGGGCAAACTTGACTGTGTTGAAATTAATTGACCCTGAAAAGTTGAGTTGTCCTGTATTTACCTAATCAAATTATCTCCCTTTACGGAGTTCTCTTGTAGAGAAACAAATTGAAAACAGGAGGGAAAATGTAAACAAATGCAGACAACAATGTTATTTTGCGAATTTCTTCATGTTTTATATTCAAGCATAATGGGAAATGGGTAAATTTTTCACAGTGATGTTAGCCTACACTTATATATATGGTTAAGTTGGTGTGATTTGCTCATATTTTGACTATATTGTCAGAACAATGGAACTGTGTCTGTACTAAGACAGTGTATTTTATAGTTTATTTTGCTTACCGTAACTAACTTTTTTAATGTATTTATTTATATAATCTTCGAACAATTTTTATAAAATGTGTAGCATAAAAGATTTCGTAGGCAATTGTGACAACTGCAGTGATGACAGGTATTTTTGAAAATGCTTCCATTGGAAAAAGAGACATGTATAAATTTTTGTCAGAATTTTTTTTACTTAAATCTGACATTACATTGTACGTCACAACTGAGGATCTGTGATATTCATAGAAATATTATCATCGAAACAACTAACAAGAGATATAGAAGGAAAAATTGTGGTGTGCCTTCAGTAAATGTCATTTTGAAATATCATAATACTACAAAAGCAGTGGATCGACATGTTACACCCGATATGTTTCAAAGAATTGTTACAAAGACAGGCATTTTCATTCCTATTGGAACATGTAAGTAGATACTATTTACCTAATACCATTTTTCTTTAAAAAAGATACAGTGATAAACCTCTTATAAAAAAGAAATCAAATGCAGCTGTCAGGTACCCCCTCCCCCCCTAAAAAAAAAAAAAAAACAACAAACAAAAAAAACCTTAGGGTTACTTCTTATCTACCATTTGTCTATGAACCTTAAGCTTATTGTTTTTAGCATGTGACAGCCATATGAACTTCTTTAATACCCCTTTTTTAAACTTTGAAACATAAAATTATGTGAAGTTCTTTGAATCTTGTTTTTGAGAGACAAAAATTATAACATGAATGCTGTTTCACGTTTCCTTTCCTTTACCAGATTTGTAAGGTTTTGTACATGATAATCACATCATTTCATACCGGTCCTTATGAAATAAAAAATGTTGCAGCAACAATGCTGCAATGTTGCGGCTGCTGATCAGGTTGCCAGAAAATTGATGCTGGATAAGTGCTGAATGATGCCGCTAGCATCATTCTGGCTACAGTGCAGCGCTATTTCCTTTCATGACAAAAAGCGCCACAATGTTGCCATAAAGCACACATATAATTTTCTCATTCTTAATCTACTAAAATGATGCCAGAATAGAGCCAGAACATTGAATATGTCATTGATGATGTCACCAGTGTTTGAGCTTTTTACTGTGGTCATGGTGGTGTGTTAGAAGTGGACCATATGTTGCTTGAGCTTATGATTTTAGTGAAGAATTGGGTGTTCTGTTATTTTGAAGACTTGTATGTAAACTTAGATTAACATGATTAATTAAATGCATTATATAAAAGTTCAATCTCTCATTTAATTAAATCAAGGAAATTGTCTTCTTCCTGATAGACCTGGAGAGCATTTTCAAAAAATCCTAATTAACAGGGACGAACTATCATCTATTGGGGCGAATTGGTACCTTCTGAAACATAAGTCATGGTTTCTCTTCCCTTTCTCAATTTAACCCTCGCTAAAATTTTACAGAGCATGCTGAAAGAAGTTTGGTCAATTATGTCTTTGTAACCCTCTAAAGACGGCTTGAAAGTGCTATTTGTTTGGGAAAAAATGTAGTATAATCAAGAATTTAGATTGCTAATCAGACAAAACACAACACCTTTGGCTGAAGTGAAGGACTCCTGTTGGGATCATGGAAATTATGTTGGTGTTATTGAAGGTATAGATGTTGCATGTTGACAGTTCATGAGTTACACATTTTAACTTTCCTTTTCCTCAATGTGGGAAAATTAAGTACATTACATATAGGAATAACTTTTAAAAGAAAAAGTTATAATAATAACCCTGAGCACACAAAAAAATCATAACGTTAAATAAAGGAGTTAAAACTTTTTCTCGGGTATACTTAGCACTAAACTTGCCTCGAAAGACGTTACTTTACCTTTTTAGTCAATAATTAAAGGAAGCCAGAATTTAAAGGCATTAGTGGCGCAATAGTGCCAGAAACTAATTTGCATACAAAATAAAAAACAATATCTGCATTGAAGCCACAACATGTTGCGGCAATGAAGCCACAGCATTTTCTGGCACCAGCGCCAGAAAACTTATTTGCATATGAAATACGCTAATGCAGCATCATTGCCACAACATGTTGGTGCAATGAAGCCGCAACATAGCCCTAATGTTGTCACAACTACATGTATTTATTCATGTTTACTTGAGATACATGTATGTTTTAAAATTCATGTTTTTATGTACATACATGTACATGTATATGACCCAACAAAAAAGTATGAATGAGATCAATTGTGTATCTATTTTCTTTTATATTACAGCAATTTGTAGACTGTGTAGAGAAAAACTATTTGGAAATAACAGTATTGAGCATGTTGAGGAGGTATGTCTTTTCATATACATATATAAATATGATTCCCTGTACACATGTATACTCAATAGTCAATAGTGAGTTTATTGTTATGTCGTATACAATGTATATATATATATATATATATATATATATATATATATATATGTATGGGATCCATATTGTAACTACATGTCAAACTGCATATGTACTCAGTTTTACTATGACAAGAATAAGAAGATCTTTCAATTCAGAAATAACATAAAACTTTAAAGTTCTAATTTGGTCTTCATATTCACTAAGCTTATGCACATTTTATTTGGTAAACTAGTTTCATCATTAAGCATTAGTAAAAAATCTATTAAAATAAAAACCAAGGTTTTAATTGATCTAATTTACATGTACACTTAGGACCAATAGGGGTTAAACTATGCGTTCATGCATGCATAATTGAGGGTAAATTAAGAGTAAATTTCTAAATCATTTGTGTATAAAACATACCTCAACTGAACCCTAACCCATTCATATATTACTAAACCCTCTAAGATAGGTTGGTTTTTGCTTCAATATTATCATGTGTATTCCAGAATTCATTATTGTTCCAATTTCAATTAGTACCTTGTTTAAAATATTCTTAAAAAGTTTTTCTTTTCTTTTAACTTAGGAGAACACTATTGAGACAAATACAAAGAACAAGATTGCAGAAGCTGAAATACTACCACCTTAAAGAAAGAGGGTAGGTATAACTGTATATAAAATAGTATCATTGCATACACTTTATAAGATGTCTCATAAACTTGACTTTATAAGATATCTTGTAAAAGTATTTAAGATATCTTGTATAATATCAGATTATTACATGGCATTTTTCATATAGCATGTATTATCAGCCCTAGGTTTAATATCAGCCCAAGAGCCGCATTGCTTGAGGGCTGATATTGGCCGAGGGCTGATAATACATGTGATATGAAAAATGACATGCTATGATCTTTTTATCATATGCTTCAACAATGGAGAAAAATAACAGATTAATATATTGATCTTTTTACGTGGTTCTTAAATAGCAGTTCAAAGAGTGAAATATTATAAGTTACATAGTGTGCTAGTGACCTAATACAGTATATATGGGGTCAGTAAATTCCATATGGGGTGAGAGCAAAGCTCGAATCCCCATATGGAATTTACTGACCCCATATATACTGTATTACGTCACTAGCAAACTATGTAACAAATTTATCTTACCGACTATCTTAACCTGTGAAATTTAGACTAGTGACCTATCAAAATGAGCACTGAAGTCTTCAATACTTTGAGCATTAAGAAACTTCTCTCATTGATCCTACAAAAACAGCTGCCAACAATAACAACTTGTTAGGTTTAAATGTGTTTTATGAATTCATTTCAATCTTAATCATCAATTTCTTCGTCTGTTGAAATCTTTAAGATGTTTTCTCAATACCGTTTTGTTTTTATAAAGGGACGCAACACCACTACTAACCATGCATGAAATAAGCCCCGCCTCCTTTCTAACCTTATATGGAATATAAAGGGGACGTAACTCCACTACTAACCGTGTATGAAATAAGCCCCGCCTACCTTCTAACCTTATATGGAATATAAAGGGACGTAACTCCACTACTAACCGTGTATGAAATAAGCCCCGCCTCCCTACAAACCTAATATGAAATATACACAGTCTCCACGCGGACGCTTTAAACCAATAATTTTCCTAGAAATGTATCGGAGGTAAGATAATCACGGATGTCAGACCCCAAATGTTGTACAATCGATATGAAATCTTTCTATCATATGCCTCAACAATGAAGAAAAAAAAACAGTATGGTATATTTTAATACGGATGATAAAAAAATAATTCAACAATATACATAATAAACACTGTTTGGAAAAGTCAACATTTTTAAAGTAACTTTCTTAATTATGTTAAAAATGCATTTATTTTATCATTTGTTTATTGTTTGTTTTTTTCCATTTTACACAATATACTTTCCAGTATCCAAATAATTGTTTTGTACCCTACTTTGTAATGTTTTTCACTGAAAACGTACCATTGAGGTGTATTTTCCAGAATTTGCTGAGTATTACCGGAATGCCATGCGATAACGTTACGGAAAGGCATGTGATAAAAGTTGAAGCATGTGATAAACTTTTCATATCAGACCGCTGAGCACCAATTTGAAAAAAATATGGAATATACGTAAATGTAATGCTATTATCATATGGTAAAAATCATATGTTATTTAGTCTAAGTATATGATAATATATTTTATATCTTTCATGAGAGATCTCATAAAGAAGTTTATAAAGATATCTCATAAACTTTAGAAGATATAAGATTTTCAAGATATCCAATTAGGAGCTAACTGTATTGAATTTGCAGATTTGGAGCCATCAATCATGGATTTGATGGTCGCAAATTGAGTTTACTAGCGACACGTTAGCGGAGCCAGTAAACGGATATTTGCAACCATCAAATCATAGATTGATGGCTCCAAATCTTCAGATTGATATATACCCTGAAAATTACGACTTTATCCAATGAAATTTGACGTACATACTTTACAACGAATGTTGCATTAGAATGAATGTTATAGGACATCTGATATAATTTATAAGATATCTTATAAAACAATTTTATAAGATCTCTTATTGTCCCCCACTGGAGGGGACATAGAAATACCGGTGTCCGTGCGTCCGTCCGTCCAAAATCGGTTTCTGGACTGTTACTTTTGAACACCTTCATATTATTTCTTCAAACTTACACAGTTGAATGTTATTAGGTAAGGAAGATCCCTATTGATTTTGATGTTTCTAGTCATTCAAAGGTCAAGGTCACAAGTGCTTTATGGAAATATTATATTTTAGCACCAGCGGGGGACCCCGGAGCCTCCTCTTGTTTAGTTTATAAGATATCTTATTTATTTTTTTAGATATCTCATAAATTAGATATAAGATATTTCATTAACTTTATTTGATATCTTATCTTTTTATTCAGACATAGGAGCCCTATAGTAATCAGCTTTCCGTCTGTCCGTCACAAACAGTTTTCACAAAATAAATCAAAAAGGCTATCACAAATCAATGTGAAAGTTTGATGGCTACCTATCAAAAAGCAGGGATATCACTAGTGAGCAATGACTCACAGCACATCTTGTTTTATATTGTGTCTATCAGAATTCATTTAGTATCCAATCTTTTGTAGGCACTTGATAAAGTACCAGGGAAGCGTTACAGGGTGAAGTTTGTTGACACAATTCTTGATTTAGATGTAACCAAGAATAAAGAAACAATAACCAATATTACAAGTTTTTACAACTTTAGATTTGAGAGCAGTCATTTGAGGATGTGGCAGACATACAATATTGATGAAGGTATTACTTTTATATTCAACATAAAGAAAAAAACAGATTACAAATAACATATAGTTTTAAACATAACACAACCACTGAAAATACAGGGTCTGGCTTGTACACAGGTGGGTAAAAGAAGTCTATAAGTACTCAACCCTCCTCCGAAATCCTGGTTCAGAGGTTAAAAGTATATAAAGACAATTAAAAGCAATACCAATACTAAATTCAATAAGCTCAGCACTTCATCTTAAAACATAAAAAATTAAATCATCTTAATAAAAAGGTTGCATTAAGCCTATTGATAAAAAGACCACAAACTCCTAGACTAGAATGGATGCTATAAAAATTCACGTAATTTTATATCATAACGACATAAAAAATCTATAGAGTTTATGATATTGAAGTTGGTTATTTTTTTTAAACTTCCATATTGATCAATTTAACAAACAATAAAATGAATACAGGTTCTTTAATTACAATTTTCATTTCAGGAAAGCTTGTGACTTAAAAATCAACAAAGAATTCTGTGCAGTTAAAAGTACTCAATGACTGGACAGAGATGTCTTTTAATGACCTCATTACTGAAGGTAATTTTATAATTATTTCATTTACTAACTGTCATGTACAAAACTTAAGCACACTTGTAAGACAATGATCATTATTATATTTTGTCACAACAACCGAGAAAACCAACACAAAACTCAATAAACATTGTTATGCATCATTTAAATTCCCTGCTTGTGGGTTACAGGATTATGGGTATCGACAGAATCTTATTATAGATAATCAGGCTGCCCATTGTTGAAAGAGAAATTTATACATGTTGTATCGTTGTCCTTTTTAGGTCACCTGGCCCATTTTGAGTCCGTCTGGCATAAACTTTTTCAAAAATCTTCTGATACAACTTGGCCAATTGAAACTGAACTTGGTTAATGTAGTAAATTTGAATTTTTCTATTTTTTTGGGAATCAATTTTTATTCTATTTATCCTCTTTTTAGGAACAGAACAGGCTTCAAAACAACAGAAGCAGACATTCATTTGGCTGCATTCAAGAGTTCAAGAACCAGATTAGTCTTAATCAACACCTCCTTCAAGTCAGCTGTGAATATAAGCTAGAGAAAGGCCCATTAAAAGATCAGGCAAAAGTTCTATATGCCCAAAAGCTGTCAAATAATGTACATCATTGTCCTGATATGCAAGCAGTCTTACTAGAAAATGCATGTACTACAGACTTGAGTGCCAAAGAAATGTGACGGGCATTGAAAGTGAAAAAGAAAACGATTTTCTTTAGCATCAAACAGAAAGAATTCATGACGGATTTATTTTATTTATCTTGAAAGGATGCAAGAAGCAGCCATATTGGATTCAACGACATTATATTTTCCCAATAAATAGGCGAAATAGAAAAAAAAATGCCTACCTTAAACTACTTTTTAATAGCTTATATCCAAATTTGAAGCGTAAACAAAGCCCCAAAACATACTATGTTACAGTTTTACACTTGAAGTATTCATATGACGTCATGATGTTGCTATGAAGTTTATGTGCCAAAGAAGTCAACAACATTTTGTGGAATTTTTATTTTAAGCAACTATATGTCCAAATAAAAAACAGAAACAATATCTTTATTGACTATTGCATTAGAATGGATATAACTGTATTTTATTTTAAGGTTTGTGGACGTAAATCTAGATTTTACTGTTGCAATTATTCGTTTACCTAGCTATGCTACAGGTTGCTAGGTAAACTCAATTTGCGACAGTAATATCCACGTTTTATGTCCGAAAATGTTAAAATACAATACAGTTATCTCCTAAATTACCTACACATGATTGCACCAATATGAGTTTAATATAATGAAATTTGCATGTACTTAGAAGGTGTTTTACTTTATTTTAATAATTAAAGTCGGACCAGCATTTTACCCACATTGCTTTATAAATAGCAAACTTTGTTGATCTGTATCAGTTAAAAACTAATATGCACAATCAGTTCTTTCTTCCCTCTGTATTCAATTACAAAATTAAATCTTTAAAAATGTAAAGATACATACTTAATTTTAGAAAGAAAAAAAAATTGTAAAATTTTCAAAATTCGGTTACGATAGCAACCATTTTTATTAAATTTCATTAAACAAAACTATTTTTCTGGACTGAAAAATTTAACTGATCAATTTTGTTAAATTGTAAGAAATTTAATGCCATCTTTGTATTGTTTAAATATGGAAATTACTTGGATCATTATTGACTTGTAGAAAAATACAATTTACAGAATTTGAAAATCTTGTGTTTTTCATTCATTAAAAATATATTTTGCAAATATTTGCCCATTGATTTTATTTTATATTCTGGAAGACTATATTGGTTCCTTCTAAATATACCTAACATTTTACTAGGAGACGCTGCATTCAAGAAAAAAATTCACTTGAATACCCTGTATTTACGCATTTTTCACTGAAATCCAAATTTGCCATATTAGCATATCTTTACTAGCTGGTAGCAAAATAACTGATAATGGTAAAAGTAAAACATATGTGAATTTCAAACAGCTTAAAGGTCAGTTATATTATATTATTCAGAAAAAAAGGATATGTTACACATAAATCAAGTACTAAACAGTGCAAAATGTTGTTTTTTCACTTTTTCAAGAGTTAAAATATGACCTTTTATTGCTAAAATCAACTTATGTGGTTTCCATGGCAACCAGAATATTCCGGAACAATTTGTTGCCTGTTATTGCCTTTAGGTATGGTTCTGGCTATTATATAAAAGTTTCATCAAAATCTGAGACCATGTGTGCCAGACCCTATTAGAATTTCTTTGGTGGTTACAGAGAATTGCTCTTAAAACATACAAGTAAATAATTATAGTTTAAGTATCAAATTACTTATAGTTAAAAGTAAAAGTTTATAACTTGATGCTTGATAGCATCTGCCTGACAGTTTGGAATCTTTGACAATAACTTATGTGTTACACATGATATATCAAGGTTTGACAGTGGTTGGTTATTCTTTTGAATTAATTTCTAGACACTGAACGATTTAAATGTTGACATATCATGATATGGACTCTTGTCTCATCGTTGAATAATGTGTGTAGACCTCTAGATCTTTATTTTTCGATCAGGTGTTGCTGTCTCCTTGACATTTATTCATAACCTCCTTTTAAAACATCGAAATAATTTCTAAATTTACAGTAAAAAAAAATCATAGTTAAATTTTGTTGTACAATTCCTTTACCTTTACATTCAGGATTAACACATCTTCGACAGGAATCCAGATAATGGAGTAGGTTTTTTGGCAGATCATTCTCAGAATATTTGACTTTATCAATCTTAATAACTCTAGCAGAAAATTCTAGCAGAGAAGGCACTTCATATGTTAAATCCTGAACGAATTTGACAACTAAAGGATTGTTTCGTAGACTTAATTCTATCAAATTAAGTGTTACTATTTCTGAAGGAAGGGTAGATAATTTGTTGTTGTGTAGACTCAGTGATTTCAGCTGATGTAGATTGACTAAGGTAGGTGGAAGACTTTGGAGTTGGTTATCACACAGTACTAGAGATGTCAGGTTGTATAGTTGTCCTATCTCAGCTGGAATGTCTGTAAGTCTGTTTCCACCTAGATAAAGAATTTCTAACCTGAAAAATAAATAAACTTGGTTACAATACAATACACTGGTTACTTAGTATTCAACATGTTCAAACTTTTTTCTTTCAGTTTGTACCTTACAAATGAAAACTTTCATGTCAGAATTAAAATTTTAAATTGATAGAGAAATGTACTTGAGTAGTTTATGTGTATACATGTACATATATTTGCAGAATTTCTTTGATACATGGTGCTTCTTACAATCCTGTGCTCCTTTCCTGATTTATGACATTGCGGAATGAGACTTCAGATCAGATTTTTACTTGCCCTGAGCCATTTACCATTTTTTTATGGTATACAGCTGTGTCATTGACTGTACTGTAAATTTTTTTTTTACCTTCGCTGAGTTTAAAAAGTTCACAATTTCTAGGGCCAACTTATTTGCCAAGATTTATTTTCCTGTTCCTCTAGCCTCTGATTCTGATCATGATATCCCTTAAAGATGAAAATTTCAATAAGGGGATATTTTTTTCTTATGTTTTCTTAATTACAAATTATGAAACAAATAATTCCCTCAAAGAAATATCCTACTTAACATTATACTGTAGCTATAGCTACATGTACAAATTTATAATTTAAACATGAGCAACACAATAGTCAACATGGCCATGCCTATGGAGGAATTTGTTGGGTCAATTGCAGGTGTTTCTCAATCTTTTAATTCTTTGTGTAGTCTTACAAAATGTATCTATTCCTCTTTTCTTTTGGTCATGGTGTCTGTTTTCTCTGATTTATAGTTTTTTTTTGGTTTTTTTATTAAACTTTAAGTATAGATCTGCTTACCTCCCCTTTTTAAGATTTACCTTACTAATTTATGATTTGTTTATTGAATACAAAATTTGTTTAATTGTTTGTTTTATTGACATTCCAGCGCCCCTGTTGTGGTCTTTGAGAAATAACCACTTGAAGTCTTGAAAATTTGTATAGAAAGTACAAAATGTAATAAAAGTTGAAAACCACGAAAAACTGGAAAGTTTTTACCTCTACTTTTATATACATGTATTATTTAAGTCCTGTTGAACTTACTTTAAATAAAGCTAATACTAACAATGACCACTGCCCTTTCCTCGATCTTGATATCTATATCATTAACGGAAAGCTTAATACTAAAATATATGATAAAAGAGATGATTTTTCATTTCCTATCATTAATTATCCATTTTTAGATGGTGACATTCCCTTGTCACCATCTTACGGTGTTTATATATCTCAACTTGTACGATTCGCTCGTGTATGTAATAATGTTTTAGATTTTAACGAGAGAAATTTATGTATTACTGAAAAATTATTACACCAGGGTTTTCGATATCACAAACTAGTCAAAACATTAACTAAATTTTATCATCGGTATAAGGACATCATTCGTAAATATAGCTCAACATGCAGACTTCTTATACGTTCAGGTATTTCACATCCAATTTTTTATGGAAATATTCTTTATAAAGCACAAAAATGTCAGTATTCACCTCTGAAGCTAACAAAACCTTTAAATAGACTTATTAAGAAGGGATATAGTTACGATACTGTTGTCAGGTCATTAAAGATTGCATATTTTGGCGTTAATATTGATTCACTTATAGGGTCTTTGCATCGGCACTAAACACATTTATTTAAAAACCAGTTGTTGGCATGACACGGGTTATGTTCTTCTCATATATGTTATGATGGTATGATACTAAACCCCTAACGGGAAGGATTGTGCCTGATATTCATATGATGAAGACATAATCTTTCAATCAGTTTAATTGAAGTCTGGAGCTGGCATGTCAATTAACTGCTAGTAGTCTGTTGTTGTTTATGTATTATTGTCATTTTGTTTATTTTCTTTGGTTACATCTTCTGACATCAGACTCGGACTTTTCTTGAACTGAATTTTAATGTGCGTATTGTTATGCGTTTACTTTTCTACATTGGCTAGAGGTATAGGGGGAGGGTTGAGATCTCATAAACATGTTTAACCCCGCCGCATTTTTGCGCCTGTCCCAAGTCAGGAGCCTCTAGCCTTTGTCAGTCTTGTATTATTCTTAATTTTAGTTTCTTGTGTACAATTTGGAGTTTAGTATGGTGTTCATTATCACTGAACTAGTATATATATTTGTTTAGGGGCCAGCTGAAGGACACCTCCGGGTGCGGGAATTTCTCGCTGCATTGAAGACCTGTTGGTGACCTTCTGCTGTTGTCTGTTCTATGGTCGGGTTGTTGTCTCTTTGACACATTCCCCATTTCCATTCTCAATTTTACTCCTAGTTAATTTGTTATGACATTTCTAATGAGATATCTTAGTCAAGATTACACTTGTACATTTGTATGTTGTCATAGGTACAGGTAAGTTGTAATTACAAAAGAAATATACATGAACATAATCTTTTGTATATACATGTACATGTACTTGACATAAGACATCTACTTATCTTTTGTATGCATACATGACATAAAACATATACTAACTTAACCTCACAATTGTCAATACACCTTCATGACCTTATACAAGGTTATCTCATGTACATGTATCCCTGTAATACTCAGTTGCACATATATCCTTACATATACTTATTCAAACAATATACTTTTCAACACAAAATTATAAACAACATGTACATGTACATGTACATATGAACTAGTGTTTCATTTACGTGACTAACACTAGTCCATGATTATCATTTTCTGAACCGGTGAGCCGCAAGATACATCAAAATTGTATCAGCTGAGTCTGTTTATCATCTTTTCATAGCAAAAGTCAAATGAAAGTTTTAGTATTTATAATTTAATCTAATTTTGATTTGATTTAATTTTTAATTTGTCATGAAGACTTTTAAAAATACTAAATCAAGGCATTGATATTTATTTTCTTCCCACTGTTTTGACTGTTGGACTCCCCATTGTCAAAAATTGAGCTTCCCTAGTTATACTTAAAAGTAATAATGAATTGCTTTGGCATGTAACTGACCCCGGGTCTGCCTCATTCCCACCCTCATTGATACTTATATTAAGGTCTGCCTCATTCCCACCTTTATTGATACTTTTGTGTACAGAATATTATACATGTACTAGAATCATCACTGATCGAATTTCATGTATTTAAAATAATCAATGTGTTAAATATTCCGTATCAACTTCACAAATAATACATGATGGTCTTGAAGTATAGATTCTAGGTACAGTACTGGAATTGTTTATCATCTTAATTATGTGTTAAAGTTCCTCTTTGTTGTCCTTGTATATATTTAACCTTTACTGTTTATCCATTTTTGATTATATACTTATGACGTGGATCGGTACTTATACATCCTGCCATTGTGCTATGGTCAATTTTGAGTTCATGTCTTCCATTATTGCTTATGTACTTTGTCTATATGCCATTTTGTGTTTCTTTGTTGAAACAGTTATTTGTTTTTATAGTGATTAAGATTATATTACAATGTTGACTGCTGCACCCCAATTTTTGACATTTTTACCCATTATGTCTGATTTTTTTGCTCACACATTGTTGTCAATATAATGGAATTCTATGCGACTGTCATACAAGTAAGAGGTTTAGCTAGCAATAAAACCAGGTTTAATCCACCATTTTCTACATAAGGAAATGCCTATACCAAGTCAGGAATATGACAGTTGTTTTCCATTCGTTAGATGTGTTTGAGCTTTTGATTTTGTCATTTTATAAACATGATAAAGGACTTTCCGTTTTGAATTTCCCTTGGAGTTCGGTATTTTTGTTATTTTACTTTTAAACAAAACAACTCTAAGCACTATAAAATAATAATGACTAAATAATATATACTCGTTAATTTGTTTTTACCTAGACATATCCCTAATCAATGATGTAATTGATGAAATAACATTGCCACCTAAGTATAATGCTTTCAGTCGAGGTAGTTCAGTAAACTGTGGAGGTAACTCTGTAAATGAATTGGCAGAAAAGTTCAGCACCTCTAGAGATCGTAATTTACTAAAGTCCTTTGGTATAGTTTTACATTCTATGTCGTTGTTTTTGGCTATCAAAGTCCTTAATTGTTTTAAATAAACCACAGCATCATCCAGTTTGTGACAATTGTTGTTACTTATATCCAAAGTAATCAGGTTAGCAAACACATTTATGGACTTAGGTAACACTTCTATATTGTTATGGTGTAGGCTCAATGCCCTGATCGCCTTCGAACGTTCAAATAAATATTCTGGTATGGCTGATAGGTCGCCATATGACAAATCCTCTGCTCCATCACTTAAATATTCACTCTCAGAACAAGAAGTTGTTTCCGACAAATATTCAGCCATTTAATCTGTATCAACAGATTGAGATCTTTAGTCACTAAATATATTCCATATTCTGTATTTTTCTTTACTATAAGTCGCAACGCACATGACACGAAAGTGAAGAGTGATGTTTGTTCTAAATTGTGTCACCTGGTACAGCCTATTATTCAATAGTTCAACATTTCGGAAAATAACTTGAGGTGAAGGTCGTTTAGTATGAGCTTTGTCTATTTCTAGGCTGATTCCCAATGGAATCTTAACAGTATTGTTTTAAAAATAATAATTTATTCAAAATATAGTTTATAACTCGAATTTTGTACAACAAACACATGATTCAGTGGAAATGTAGATATTTTTTCATGATAACGTAAGGGATATTTATTTTTTCGAAGATATAAGGGGGAAAAGGCGTGATGGAGGGTGATGAGAGTAAACATTCGAAAGAAGCTATTGAAGAGACCAGTTTAACCAATGCAAAGAAAGAAACCAAACAGACTGTAGAAAGCGAAAAGCAGGATGAAGAACTAGATTCATTATTAGACAGTATGAGTCAGCGATTAACAGAATATTAAGAAACAAGATATTTTATTGAATCAAGAAGGCATGGATCGCAGGCACTAGACGTTCTGTCAATAGTAATAAAATATTGGCAATGGGAAGAAACATATATATATATATATATATATATATATATGGACACTATTTTCTTCCCATTGCCAATGTTTTATTACTATTGACAGAACGTCTAGTGCCTGTGCATGGATGATCATGGAGGGTGGAAGGGGTATCCTCCCCACATGACTATGAATGATAAAATTTTGTTTGTAATTAAAGCTAACATTATGGTTACTCTAAAAACATGATTCCAGGAATAATTAAAAATCAGGCTCAATTGATGCTGACCTTGCTAAATATAGTGAAGGCCATTCCTTCCCTCAATCAAGGGGCCTGTTATTTAAATGAACAATACTTTTTATATAAATAACCTATATATTTAACTTTACAAACAGTTACAGGTACAATGGATCTGCCCGATGTCATTTGTTCTGTGAAACATATTGATCCATCCAAATTGTGATTACCTTTAAATAAAAAAAAATATGGCAACATTATATTTGAATAATGTATGTTAAAGGTAGCTATATATATATTATACTCATTTCAACTTTGGTGGATAGTTGTCTCATTGGCAATCATACCTCATCTCCTTATTTTAATATATATGAGAGTAGGAATGCCCTTTACAGGCTTTACCGTCAGCCATCAAACGGTCATTTTCTGCTACCGTTAGCATCAAATTGGTTAAAATTTTATCTTGATTCATCAAAATATCCCTATCGTGATTCGTCAAGAGGTCTCAAATAATTATCCGCTACCATTATTTTTGGAAAAAATTTAACGTGATTCGTCAAATTCAGTCTTCATAAAGAAAATATACATTTTATCGTCATGCACCATAAATAACCGTTAACCTCATTTGGCAAGATTTTTTACCGTTATTCGTCCTGAAGGCATCCCCATTACGACCCTCATAAATGTATAGTCATGAAATAAAATTTTGAAGAATTCTTATATTTATAAGTAAGATTTTACATTGTTTTTCACAGAATTTTCCAATTTCATATTTGAAGTTGAATTCAATTTCGGTTTTATTACAAAACAAATAAATACATAGATACGCATGCCTATTATTAAATAAAATCATTCACCTCGGAATATATTTTTGTCTTTTTACCCCTGATTGTATCTTAATGTTATCCATGTTAATGGAAAAAAAAAACTAACAAACTCCATTGATCAATAAAATACAGAATATTCATGCATTGAAGAACATTTTTAAAAATAAATTCTCTTTTGCTGTCTCTTGATCATAAATAGCTTTTGTCCAAATTTTGTAAAATTCCGTGGAGATTTGACAAAGTTATAAAAAAAAACTGTAACCACAGACTGATTTTAAGCATGTATGTATATATATAATTTTTTGTAAGAAAATTGAAAATGAAGTACATCTATAAAGTTGTCAAACCTCCATTGAATTTTACAAAGCTTGGACAGAAGCTTCTTCATAATCAAGATATAGCACTCTAGGCTAAATTAAAAAAAAAAAAAAATGTACTAAGTTTTTTGTAATTAACATTGCATTTTTACACTGACATGACTGACAGAAGCAGTTGCAGGCAAGACTCAGATTCCCTGGAACTCTATGAATTTTTAGATAGAAACTGCATTTTGATTTCTCTCATTTCCCTTTCATCATGTTTATACAACTGATGAAGGTATAGTGAATGATGAAAGTTATTGTTTAAGTGAATCTAACTCAAACAGACTGAAGCATACTCAACAGAAAATTAATTGCCAAACGATTTGATTAAACAACAAGCTTTTAAAAGTATATCTAATTATTTTCAGAAACAGAAACAAATGCAGAGATGTTCAATTTTTTTTCGACATGAATAAGAATATGTTATATAAAAATAAGATGTGGTATGATTGCCAATGAGACAACTATCCACCAAAGTTCAAATGAAGTAGATGTAAGCAATTATAGGCAACCATATGGCCTTCAACAATGAGAAAAACCCATACCGTATAGCCCACATTTTGAATTTTTGATATCTTCATGTTTGCATTCTGTTAAAATAAAGTTTGTATAATTATTAATTCATTTATAAATAGTGTATCCTATTTATTTTGAAATCAATTTTAAATTTTTTTTTTAGGTGCCTTGAAAGATTTTGATGAAATAAAGCCGAAAACAGCAACAAAAGACGACCAGAGTAGTGCAAAGAAAAATGATACTGTAAGCTATAAACCAATCACTTGATATGTTATATGTAAAGTAAATTTACATACCATAATGTGTTCTTGAACTTACTGACATTTCTATGTGACAAATCGCTGCATATATTAACATGGTTTTGTAAGTCTGCCCACCATCAATGTCTGTACATTGTATGTCAATGATTTTGAAGGTGTTCAGACACGCATAGACCAAATAATCTTTCTCTTGTGTGTTTATATTAGTCATTTCATATTTATCATTTGGACTTTTATTTTTTATGCCCTCGCCATTAAGGTTTACCCTTGACCGTCCGTAATACGTCCCAAAATTGGTTTCCATCCTCTAACTTTAGTTTGCTTCAACCAAATGTTATGAAACTTATACACAATGCTTATAACCACAAAACTCAGATCAATGTTGAAATTAGGTGGCGTCACTTTTACTGTTCTGGAGCTATGCCCCTTTATAACCTTATATGCAAGCGGGGGCATCATCTGTGTCCCATGGACACATTCTCCATTTATTTTTTTGTTTTTTTGTTTCAGTTTAGCAAAAAAAAAAAAGTTCAAATGATAAAAATGAAATATGAAATAACAAATGAAAACACACAAGAGACAGATTAATTGGTCTTAAACATACATTGCTTGCCTGTATTTCAGGAACAATGTATGTAAAGTGGTCATAATGATAAAGTATACAAACAAATTTATTTTTAGAAATCAAGTGTAAAACATTAATTGGTCAATAAATTGATGTGTTTATAATATTTCATAATAAGATTGTTTTAAGGCATCACAGAAAACAGAAGCATCAGGGGACCCTTTGTCAGACATGTTTGCTGAGGAGTTCTCAGACGATATGGCAAAACAGTTTGAAGAGGCCATGAAAAGTATGGTTGGTGAAGATCCTGAATTAGTTCAACAAATTGAAAAACTAGCAGCTGCTGCTGGCAGTGCAGGTATTAATTTATTACTTTAATAATAGTGACAAGATTATAATGAAGACAACATTGAACAATAAGGGGGAAGGGAATGTGGATATCAAGTAGCTGTGCAAAAATTCTCTATTGAAATTTAAGGTCTGATGATAAATAAATACAATGTACATTGGTAAAAAAAACCAATGAAACGCACCATGCACTTTAGTAATTAAAGATGAAAACCACATACCCTTTTGGGTGTTCAAGAATTAAACACATGGGGGCATGGGAGGCACTGTTTAATAGCCTGACCACCCTTAAAATAAAAAAAATCATTTTTTTATTCTTACAAAATTCTGAGGAAAATGCAACCACCCCTATTTAATTAATTTATGAGTGCCACCCATTCCCCCATCCGATAAATCTTGGAACAGCACTTTCTAATTTCTGGTCAAGAGGCTAGCAAGGGTGTTATTATTTTTTTTTTCCATTAAATTGCCAGTAAGTCATGTAAGTACCTGGTATATACAGTTGTATATGGCTAGGATTTTTTTTCAGAGTGGGAATCAAAACAATGCAGTGGTGAATCTCAGTTGATATTTATGAGTCCATAGTGTACATTAAATATCGACTAAATACTCATACACTGGGACTTATCTTATGGAGGCATTTATTATAAACATGCAAAAAGCATGTCCAAAGAAATTTTTAGGTAGCCAATGAAAGCACTCCAGGTTTTAAGGTAACATATTCTGGGACAGAATACAGAATTTAATTTTCATGTGTAATTTGCCTTTAAATCATTTACCATGTAACTTGAGTTTTTCTCAGTGGAATCATGAATTTTTAGCCTTAACTATTCAAAATCAAACACAATTTCAAAGTTAGTTTTATATGTGTTTTGTTGTTGTGATATATCCTTAATTAAACCTCTATAAAAAATTGTTATTCCATCAGGCCCAATTGAGTGTTTATTTATTTTACAAATATTACCTTATCATGAAAAGATATAAATGCATAATTTATATATTTAAAATTATTTTGTTAGGTGATTCACAAGAAGCACAGCAAGAGTTTGCTAAAAATTTAGCACAAACCATGTCTAGTCTTGATGAAAATTCAGAAGAATTACAGGTATGTCAAAAATACCCTGAATAAATTGTATGTCTCATTGTTTTCCATAGAAGCTAGTAGCTCTCTTCTAGTACACCTTATTGCGATTTGTCTGCCATTACTGGCCATCAGAGATGTTCCCATAGAATTTTGATGCATAAAAGAAAATGTGTGATGCAACAATGCAGAAGTGATTGTTGTATGATGTCAAAAGTTCGTGTCGCAAAATCTTGGGTCAAGTATAGCAGATTCCGAAATAGTGATAGGTCTATAACCTTCAATCTCAGAATTTTTGCTGTCTACTTTTTATGTCAATTATAAAAGCTATCAATTGAAACTTCACTAAAGATGCAATGTCTGCTTTTACTTTCTAAATCAGCCTGTAATGTAAATATTTTTGAAAAAACACAGATGTCTAAATTGTGTCCTTTCTTGTCTGTGAGAATTTTAAGTAGATGGATCTCATTAAATCTTGGGCTCAATCTTTGTCTGGCACTGAGATGATGTAAAGTAGAATTAAGAGATAACTGTATTGTATTTGAAGCTTTGCGGACATCCCTTGGTAGTTTTACTGTCGCAAATTTAGTTAACCTGGCGACGCGTAGCGGAGACAGGTCAACGGGTATTTGCGACAGTAAAACTACCGATGGACGTCAGCAAAGCTTCAAATACAATACAGTTATCTCTATTCTAATGCAAAACAAGTACATAATTCAATTTCAATCATTATTTCAGTGTAAAATTTTCATTAAAGAAAATTCCGCGAAAAGATGTTATCTTCTTTGGCCCCTAATCTAGGTGACGTCATAGGTATGCTTCCAATGTCAAACGTAAACACCAGGTGTTTTCTGGCTTCTTGACTGCTTCAGAATGTAATAAAATTTGATAAAAAGAAGATTTAGAAATTACATGTCAATAAATTCCTCAATTCAAAATGTCGGCTTCCTTAGTTACAGACAAGGAGATAGAGAATTTTACGCTTACTGTCATCCAATCAGAACCATTGATACAAAATAATTGCATTAGAATTATTGGTGCATTGTAGGAATAACTCTAAAAGTGTTTTATAAGTCTTCTTAACAGAAATAGCTTAGGTCTGGTCTTGTTTAGAATTCACCATTGAGAAATCTTATAAGATGGAAACTGATAATAAATAATGACACTACCAAATAGATACATTTTATGCTGCACTGTGGAAACCAAATTTTAAAAAGTGTTTGTTTGTAAAAATGTTTAAATATTGTTTCACTACGAGTTAACTTTATGAAGAAGGCTCTTTTACAACAACCAAGTCACTATGAAAAGGGTTTTTCTTGATTTAAAGTCTTTAACTAGGAACAGGCATATAGTAGGAATTAATTCCAGTTCCAGAATAATAATTTCCATTGATTAGAAATATAATGATTGTTATTGTATTTTCCCAAGAATTGAAAAATAGACAGCTGATGCTATTTTGAACTTTAAGCAGAACATCAAATTAACTTCCAGATATGAAGTGATCTTTATAATCACCATTTTGAAATTTCATGAATTTCATGTTTAGCTGATTTTACAGGTCATTTATTACCCCTTGACATGTGACATTTCACATGCTTAAGCCACTTGCAGGTTACTTTATCATGAAGCACCAAAGACTTGTTTTGCATTGCTATTAATTTAATCATTGTTTGTATCTGAATTTTTTTCTGTAACTTTTCATATGATCAGATTTTTGCAATCATATCAGTATTAAATTCAAATAATTTAATTTTGGATGTAACACACCTTCTGATTGGCTGAAAGTGTTTTGTCTATCAGCTCATAGACATATTTTTGTCATGTGAATGTAACATAACCAACAATTTTTTCAAAATTTACTCCTTAAAAATGAAATTTAGAATTAAATTATAAGGAATGACTGTAAATTTTTTTCTGTCTATTCAAAACAACCTAAAAAATGTGGTACACACTTTTAAATATCCTGCTAAGCGGGTTATTCAGTGTGCAACACATTTTTGATGTTATTTCTTCATAGACAGAAAAAATATTACAGTCATTCCTTAAATAGAATTTTATGCACCCACTCTTAATTAAGCCATTGATTAACATTTATCAATGTACAACATATCCTCATTAAAATGAGGTAATAATAGACAATTTTAATGTTATGCAGGGTCAAATGTCAGAAGATGATTTGATGAAAGCCTTCACCAGCATGGGTATGGAAGATGGACAAGATGGCTTCATGCCGATGATGCAGGGAATGATGAAGTCATTGTTATCTAAAGAAATCTTATATCCATCTTTAAAGGAATTATCAAAAAAGGTATAATCTTATGAGAAATTAAAACAAAAATTGTAAATAATTTGAAAGTACTGATTATCTTTATTTTCAGACCAACTCATTATTAACAAACTCTAAAACTTTAAAAATAAGAATAGCAAGTAGTGTTTACCTTTTCATATGTTGCAGCAGGGATCACCAAAGCTGTTTTTGCACCTACAAAAAGACTGCTCCAAATAAATACACCTCCCACCAACCTGTTTGAGCATCTACCAGAAGACTGCCCCCAAATAAATAAAATGCTGTTCTTTCAGATAATTCTACCTTTATGATCATTCAGAAGGAATACAAAGCATGAACTGCATGATATATGGTTTTAATTGTCATTAAAAAAAAATCATCAGCAAAAGTTGGATGCATAAGAATTTATCCTCAGTTAAAAAAGTATTTATGAGAATAAGCTATTTCCAATTAAAACAAAACAGATATTCTTGTGCATTTTATTTTATTTCTATTAAACAAAACAAGATATTTAATGAGAGAAAACCAACATCTGGACATCAATAATTAATCTGAACATCTACTAATTTCAAAACGTGACGGCATTCAATTGTAATCCAAATACATCTAGTTGAAATGATAAATTGGACAAATGGTTGACTTTTTCAGTATCCCCACTGGTTAGATGAAAACAAAGATAAGACAGCTAAGGACCAGTTAGACAAGTATTTACAGCAACAGAGGATTGTTGGTGAAATATGTGAAGAATTTGAAACAGAACAGCCCTCTGAAACAGATGAAAGGAAGAAATTACGATTTGAAAGAATCATAGATTTAATGCAACAGGTAAGATATCAGTTAATAAAAAAAATTACAAAGATTTTTAGGGTTAGATTTCAGAGATGTTGGCTTCTGAAAGGCTATTTGTTGACTTTGTAACTAACCTTTTTATAAATGTATTTTTCACTACCAAGAGAAATGCTATCATCATGAAAAGTATGTTTATGCATGTATATTTGGATTAAAATGCATTTGAGTAGAAAAAGGTTTTCAATTATTAACTCTCCTTACTGTGAGCTTTTGCTATTACTTGGCATCCGTAGTCTGTTTTATATAAAATATTTTGTACAACAGTTTGACATATACTGATAATTGGCAACAAATATGGATAAGATTTAGATTATTTGAAATGTTTCACAACAATTATGTGCTATTGAACATCAAGGTCTGTTTTATGATAATATTTAAGGTTTTGGATCAGGTTTAGATTTGATGAAGCACATGTTTGGTGTGAATAGACATAATAACACAATGTAATTTCACAAATACATTAAGATTTGAATTATTTAAAATATAGGTGAAGTATGGCCTAACTTGAATGTCTTGGTTCATTGATCATTGTCAAGTCTACAAATGTTTCAGGTATACGGGTAAGGTAATTTCTTGATGGACAAAGTATGCATATGTGAACAATAATAATACTGCATTTCTCAATTTTCATTTAACTGATTTTTTTATTTATATCAGATGCAAGATCTGGGACAGCCCCCAAAGGAAATAGTAGGAGATATGGTAAGTTTCCTGCTGTGTAGAAATGTCATATTCCTTTACAGTTGCTCAATACAAAACTTTCCTGATATAATATAAGCATTGCTCATAAGTAACTGAACACTGTATCTTGCATCAACAGTGGCTGTGTATTAAGTAAGATTTCTACAGCTGTTTGATTTCTTTAATGGTAATATTGTAAGTGTAAGATTAACACAGAGGCCACAATGAAACTATTGTGTGTGTTTTACCACATGCTGCTGACCCAGAAAAATGTTGCAGATTCAAGTTAATTGTTTTCTGCAGACTGGTTTTTGACCTGTTGGTTAGTTTCTTTATATGGTTATATTTAGAATTTTTCATAGATAATTGTGTTAATTGGAAAATATTTCTAATTTTAATTTCCAAATCTGTGCATTGCATAGAAATACAATGTAAAGGACATACTTTGATGATGATGAATAGACTTATATTTCAATGTTATTATTATAAAAAAAACTTATGTATGATTATTTTACAGGCACCTGGTTTAGACTTTGATGAAAATGGTTTACCTAAATTACCAGGGACTCAACAGGGATGTTCTATCATGTGATCCAATAACATTCTAATCATGTGACAGCTGTGATATTGATCATGTGATACAAACAATAGAGCAGAAAGGTCAAGGAAGGCATTGTTTTGGTGGATATAAAAAGATTCCCAACTGAAGTTGGTATTAATGCATTCTGGTTGTGATAAACAGATGTTGTCCTTTCTCTAGGAGAGCAGTGTTTATGTTTAAAAGATCATACTGTTTTTCTATTCTTTAATGATGGTTTATAAAACTTATAAAGCATTTAAAAAAAATATGCATTTGAGGTTGGAAATGAGTTTCAAGCACACTTGGTAAATGTAATTATGTTGCATTTACTAATTATTATTTTAGTGAAAAATATTTGAAATATGTATAGACAATTCATGTTTTTATTGTACTATTTTAAGTCATGAAGACTTACAATTTTAATTGAAAATGTGAAGAATTTCAAAAATAGGTGGTATAATATTGGGACACAGGGTTCAACTTTATATTTAAAAAATGTATCCATTCTTATTTTCAGTTTGGACCAAGTTATAAGTTGAAAATATTAATTTTTAAAGAGCAAAGTTTCTGATCACAAGATGTAGGAAAATTATTCTTTATTCAAATTTCATGTTTCATATTTAATTAAGGAAACATTCAAAGATTTGAAAAAAATAAACTGATGTAACCTTCTTTTCTCTGAAATTTAGCAATGGAATTATTTTAAAGACATCCAATCAAGTATAATGAAATTTTCCTGTATTAAAGTTTATCTGAGTTAAACAATTTGCCACTTTTATTTCAATAGAGCTCACTTCATATAATAGTTTTCAACACAACAATATATTTTTTTGTTTATTTTTAAGTTTTAATGTTTAGAAGTTATATTTTTATTCTGTGTTTCGGCTTTTTTTATTGTGAGTAAACTTTTCAGTGGTTTTACTTTCTGAAATAAAGTTGAAAAATTTATCATTATGAAATCATGTTTATTAAATTTTCATGTAATTAAAATCATTGTTTTAAAGGTTTTTAAATCCTTTGAAGACATCTTCGTAAATAATGGTGCACAATCTTGGGGTCCCCATAAATTATTTCTCATCCAATGATTAAGGGTGAAATAATTACATTCCCCCAATGAGACAGTAATACTGAATTGGATCATTAAATATGGACATCATTAAATATCAATCCTAAAATTTAGTAGTTAGCTTTTTTGTAAATTTGTTGATTTAATGTGATTTTTAACAGACTATAAACAATTTTTGAATACTACAAAGTGGCTTTATTCATAGAGTAGTAATTATCATGGATTTTCTACTAAATCAAAATCATGAAATTGAAGACCCAAAAAAAAATGTATATTTCCATTGATATGAAATGTGTTTAATTGGAATCCACAAAATTTTTTTTTTTTCCCCAAGAACTATTAAATTGAAATCCTTGAATAATGGTACTGTAACAGTGTTGTAATATATACTGTAACTGCTATTTCTGCAGTCAAATTGCATTGACTGAATATTCATTTGTAATATACAGTTACTGAGGGCTATTCAATTAAAATGTATGTCGGAGGGTAGGAAGGGACTTTCAAAATATCCCTACAACCAAGAAACATTTTTTAGATAATTCTGCATAATGGTAATAGACGCATACTGAAAAAAGACCCATGACCCACATTCAATAATTACACTTCCCTTCCTACCCTCCCACATACATTTTAATGGAATAGCCCTGAACGTATATTGTGTTTTTTATGACATAGACAAGATGTTTTATTTATGACATCAATAGAGAAGACAGTTTCACAGATTTTTTACATTGTCTGCTTCAAATTTATAATTGATTATTTACCCAAAATATTTCATTTGGAACAGTTGTTAGAGTTGCAGTATAGACATAATTCCTATACATTGTCTGGAAATATACAATTTATTTGTACTTGGCTTGGAACTGGAGAAATGCTTGACATAGCCTTACATTCTACCAGTTTGTAAGCCTTGTTCAAAGACATTTTGTATTTTGCAATGTATATATTTTTTTCTATATGTATGGCTGTCAAATATTGGTTTGTAGATTTAAAGTATTGTATGAATGTTTTACATATGAATTTGAAAAGAATGAAATTTGAATGAATGAAAGTTGTTTAAACAGAGAGAACAAAATAATGGCATGGTTGATAAAAGATTTCATTATGTCTTCAATTCACAGTTCAACAATTTGCCAAATGAAATCAATTTCAAATATTTATTTCATCTTTAAAGGAAGCAATTTTATTTTGGAAAATAATCATGTTTCTAATAAAATTTAAGTTTTTGTTGTTTTGAAACTATTTGTGTGAATTAATTATTATAAACAGATACATTTTCTCATGTTAAAGTTATGGAAGTCCAAAGTTATTTAATTAGTTTAAGTGAATGTTGACAATTTGAAACAATTTCAATGATTTGTGAATTGAGCACATAAGAGTAATTGTTGCCTGAATAAAAATATCAGGACATGATTGTATTGACTTATACATTCAATGTAAGAAAAAAGTTATTGATTATGATTAAAAGACTAAAAAATAAAAATTGATTATGATTAAAAGACTAAAAAATAAAATATACAATCAACTTATATATTTATAATTTCTCTAGAATATTTTATATTTATCTTATAGAAAATGATTTGACATTACCATATTTATCAAGTTTATAGTTGTTCTATATGATTCCTGGATAAAATAGGTCTACTATGCACTGTCAAGTCCTCTGTTCATCTCGTTTTATTAGACACACAAACTTTACTGATCAACATTTCAACAACTTAATCTAAGATCGAGTGGTGTAAATTGTTTAAAAGAACAACAGGAAATGAGTAGGGACATTCAGTCTTGTATTTGGCCCAGTGTTATTTACATCATTGAACATAGATATAAGAAAATATGGTATGAGTGCCAATGAGACAACTCTCCATCCAAGTCAAAATTTATAAAAGTAAACCATTATAGGTCAAAGTACGGTCTTCAACACGGAGCCTTGGCTCACACCAAATAGCAAGCTATAAAGGGCCCCAAAAATACTAGTGTAAAACCATTCAAACGGGAAAACCAAGGGTCTAATCTATATAAAAAACGAGAAAGGAGAAAATGTCTACTAATATAAAAAACATTGATTTGTACGTACAAGTGTAGAAGAAAAAATTATTTGCATAAAAATAATATAATATCTTTATAATGTGCCTGCAACCGTATAATTTTGTAAAATTGAAAAACTACTGATTTTTTGCAAAATTTTATGATAATTACATTTGGAAATTTCACCTACAACTGACTGGCTAAGTCATTTCATGTATATGTTTGTAAGCTTGCCTTTCTTGGAGGGCTAGTGTGATCCTTTTTACTTTCATGTACTTGGTGTTCATTGTCATTTGTCTGTTTCAAAAATCTTATAATCTGAAACTACTAAACTGATTGAAATAATTATCATTTTGAAGATATAGAGTACTAAAACTATAAAAGAAAAGGTTAAAAACCACCACTCTTGGTAGAAGTTGGTTTGAACATGAGTGAAGAAGAACAAAAACATGTTGGTTTTAATAGCTTTAATAATAGAGTGTCTGCATTTATTAGACATGTTAAATAAATGCTTACAATTGACAATTGTAAGGTGGATAATCTAAAATTCAGACATTTATATAAGGGATCATCTCAAAATAACATGATAATTGGTTGGTTGGTTGATCAAATTTTAGCACAACATCAATAACAAGTTTTTCATATGAATTGGTTGATTAGGTGGGTTGGTACAATTTAGGTAGGTTAATTGATTGGTTGATTGATTGATTGAAATTTTGCATACTTTTATACTTGATGAATTTCACGTTCATTAATCAATTGATTGGCTTGGTTTGTTTGCTATATTGATTTATTGATTTGATATACTAGTTTCATAATGTTAAGAGATGCATATTCCATAATGATGGTTTCATTCATTGATTGTTACTGTGGCATTCAGTGACAGATATTTAACGAACATTATTTACTCGCAGAATGATGAATGCTTCCTCCTCCAAATAAAGACACAGGCCAGGTCCCAATTCCTCAATTAATAAAATACATGGGGTTTGGTTCCTAGGAACAAGTGAAAAAAAAAGTAGGACCCAGATCCCCTTTAATTGAAGGTTTTCATGTCATTGCAACATATTTATTTGTATCTAAAACATTGCATTTCTAAGAACATGCAAGAGTTTATCAACATCTCCTTTCATCTTTCAAATATATGTTAATCTTCCTTTATAAATTTCCTTTTTTCTAAGGATCCTCTGAATTTATGTTTTGTTTATGTGTTGTGTGTGTGTTTTGTTTTATGTGTCTGTGTGAATCTGATAATTCCATTGTATTTTCTTTTTCGTGTTCTCAGGTTCTCCTGAATATCGAGGAAGCGATCCCATCCTGTCTCTCTGTTGTAGGAGGAGGAGCATTAACATGTTTATTTGAGTTTGGAATATTAGTTAGATATTGGTCAATGGATATCACACAAACAATCAATAGATAAGTCAATATGAAATATTCATCTGTTTATGTTATTCAAAATGCCAATAAATCAATCAATAAATCATCCCATCAATCAATCATTCAATCAATCAACCAATCAACCAATACACCCAGCTAACAACAAACCAATCGATATGTAGAAATTGTAACTTGATGTTATGCAAACATTTTATAAACCAACAAAAAATCTTGTTTAACTTAAAAAATATGGAATGACATTAATTACCAATTGTTTTCTAAAACTACTTTATAATATTTATTGGATGTAATGTTATGAAAGCTGGTAATGTACTGCTAATTATGAAAATCGTACTTTTGAGATGATCTCTTATTTAAATGTCTCAACTCTATAGACTCTCAACACTCAATTGTCAATTGTAAACATTTATCTAACATGTCTAATAGACCTAAAAGTAAATCAGTCAAAATATTAGATACTGTTGCTTTTATAATAGACAATTGGTTTGGAGCACCTGAGATCACCCCTGGATTTTGGTGGGGCTCATGTTGCTCAGTCTTTGGTGTTCTATGTTGTGTTTTGTATACTTTTGTTGTAAATTGGTCTTTTTCTTTTTATTCCCATGACAGCAGTTTATTTTCGACTTATGAGTTTACGCCTCTCTTTTAGATGATTTTTAGGTTTCAGATTCCATGTGAATTTTGTTCTACTTCTTGCTAGGTTAATGTAAAATAGGTTAAAATTAGTATTACCTAGAATTTTATCTGAAGATTAATCATATTGTAATATTGTCAGTGATAACTCAAATATCATTGCTTATTTTAGAAATATCATAGAACTTATTGAAAAACATGAAGTTGAACTGTATATAATGAAAATTTACTAAGAAAAATACTTTGACAGTTAGTTATGAAAATTTGTAACAGGTGTTGAAAAAATTTGAATATGGTGATAGATTTGTAAGTTAGTATGTCTTTGGTGTTCAAATTTCGTGGTTTGATTGTTCAAGAAATGTGCCCTTATATTTGCTGATGATCCTTTACATATCTTTTGCCTGACTTTTACACTGTTGAATATTAAAAAGGACAAAAAATGCAAAGGTATAGAAATTCCAAACTGCAGAAAAGAGAAGTTTTTACTTTTGAAAGAATGATTGATTGTTTAGTGTTTTACGCCACTTTTAGCATATTGTGCTACTTATGAAAGACGACACTACATTATCTTTATGAACTTATACTAAAACTTTTTAAATAATTTGAATTTTACATTGATAAGAACATAAATGATTTATTATGGTAATTAACAGTTTTCAGGTGTTGGTAAGTGCCAATTAGGCTTTCAAATTTGTGTACCTTTCGATATTTTGGGTGCTCAATGCTCTTCAACTTCGTACTTCATTTTGACCTTTTTAACTTTTTTGATTCGAGCGTCACTGATGAGTCATTTGTAGATGAAACGCACGTCTGGAGTACAAAATATTAATATTGGTATCTGCGATGAATTTATTGTGAAGATAGTGTTCAAATTGTTTCTATTGTAACAAAATGCTGTGTCATGAAATGAATTGGAAAACAAAAGTAAACAGAGTCAGTTCTCTTTTGAACAAAGTAAAACACATTTCCCTACAGGACAGTGTCAGTGCTGTTATCTCTTTGATATGGTATCAGGATTTTGGTACAATTTTGTTGTGACTTCTATGCCAGAATAGGCATATATAAGTTTTGACACGGCCAGATATCTATATGTATGTCCCAATTCAGGACCCTAATTTGTGGTTGTCTGCTCTCACATTTTAATGTTTTTTGTTAATTGCGGAAACTCCCCCAAACAACGTGGGACCAACCTTCAAACGTTAAATTTACTATTCAGCACTACGTTTTAATTCTTTAGTTCTTATCGAATGTGAAAATTAAAACGAAAACACTGTTTTCATGGACAAGTAATTGTTAGATAATTACCTAAAGGAATAACAAAGACATTGAAAACTTAAACAGTACAAAAAACCTCACTGAAAACTAAAGCAAAGCTAAGTAAACACGAACACCTTAATTCATAGCAAATCTTGGGATGCTTTCAAACATCACTCAAAGGGTAAGCAGTTCCTATTCCTCTTGTAACCGTATTTTTCGTGATAATATCATGTTTTTCACTATATTTACAATTAAATTTGATTCGGCTAATCTCCAAATTCAACATTTTTTGGTAATTTCCTAGTAAGGAGTTTTAAGTTTTTGCCCGTTTGTCATAATGCTAAATAACCAAATGTTCTTGTCTGTTAACCGTCGAAAGATACAACTAGATATAAAACAAAAATTCTGGCTTCTGAAATCATTATGTCTCAAAGTCGATGAATACGAGACATGGAGATTACAATCCGACGACGGCGTAAACTTTATATGAAGCTTTATATTTCAGAAGGTAGAAGACCTGGATGCTTCATACCTTGTATGCAGAAACCTTATGTTACGAAGTTTCCGTCTATCGTATGTTCATTGTCCTTGACCACATTTTCATGCTTCAGGGACTGATTTAAAAAACTTAATTATGAGTAATAGAATAACGATATTTCATATATGGCTTCCTTGCAAGGTTTACATGTTTGTCAGAAAGGGTTCACCTGACCTCAACATCATTTTATGGATCAGTGATCAAGAATAAGTTCATCCCAGTTTTAGGTGGGGTCCGTGTTGCTCAGTCTTTAGTTTCTATGTTGTGTTTTGTATACTGTTGGTCTTTTTCTTTTTCAGTCATGGCGTTGTCCGTTTATTTTCGACTTATCGGGTTTGAATGTCCCTTTGGTATCTTTTGCCTCTCTGTTACGTGGTCAAGTCCGTATCTCAGATACTTTAGGCAATTGGTCAACTATATTTGGTGTATGGAAAAAAAAAGTAAAATCTCAAAAGTACTGAACTCCATAGAAAATTCAAAAAGGAAAGTCCCTAATCAAATGGCAAAATCAAAAGCTCAAACACATCAAACGAATGGATAACAACTGTCATATTCCTGACTTGGTACAGGCATTTTCTTATGTAGAAAGTGGTGGATTGAACCTGGTTTTATAGCTAGCTAAACCTCTTTCTTGTATGACAGTCGCATCAAATTCCATTATATTGACAACGATGC